ACAAGAGTCCATGCGCTCCTTTCTTCCTATCTAAATGCATGGGGGAATTGCCTTGAAGCGTAGTTGTACGCTTGAAGAAGGGCGTACAGTCTTGAAGCGTAGTTGTACGCTTGAATGAAGCGTACAACTACGCTTTAGTTTTACCAGTGTAGTTTTTATAAAGTGCTCTTCAAAATCAACTATGTTCTGTGAATCCATGTTCTGAAATTTCCTCACCAACTTTTTTCTAAATTTGGGGTCACCTGCCCACTGTGCGCCGGGCACGCCCCGTGCGACAGCGCGCTGTGTACATAAACGGAGGTATCCGGTCTCCTCCAAGTTTGAACCCGCTCCCCTCAACTCGGTGTCCCCGTCACTCAAACCTTATCGTCTGTGCAACGCACTTAAGAGGGGCGGATCAAGGAAGCGGGGTTGGGCAGGGCAGGGCGGGGCCGCCGAGCCGCCACGTCCCAGTAACAGTGGCCGCGACGGGCGGACGGCCGGGCCTCCTCTGATTTCCATCAAAAAGCGTGTCTTTCATGAATAAAATTTTCATATTTTGGTGACGAAAAGAAGAGCGGCGAAAGGATTATGGCATGGCGTTATGAGGGATAAAAGAGAGCGCGCCGAGTGGCGCTACCTGGCCTGGCGTGGCCTCGCCTGCCGGGCCAAGCGAACGCCACCTGTGGCAGGTCAGGCATCCCCCCAAATAAGCCGCCGGTCCTCGCTCATTTTGCAAATACCGACCTGGAAAAAAATTGTGGCGCACAGTGAGTGGGAAGAGGGAAAACACGTGGACATTACAATGTATTGGAATTTTTTATAAACTTTTTTTTTTGGCAAAAAGTGAAAGTTGTCGTCGCTCGCGTGCCGACGGGGGTTGAGTGATCGAAAGCGTGGCAGGAGAGTTGGGTGGAGATTCGTAGGGCGCGAGCACGAGCTAGAGAGAGAGAGAGAGAGAGAGAGAGAGAGAGAGAGAGAGAGAGAGAGAGAGAGAGAGAGAGAGAGAGCGTCGCGGATGGCCCCGTTGGGGTTGCGATACAATCACGCTGAAAGGCGTGCTCCGAGGGTGTATCATTCATTACAAGGAAGCCAGAGGACGATTCGCCGTAACGACGCCAAGATGGGACAGAAGAAAAACACTCTGAGGTTGATGGTGATGTGTCCCGGCTAAGTGTGCCCCGCGTCGCCGTGACTGTCACGCGTGTGTCACGCGCGTCACGGCCGTGGGTCCATTCTGCGCTGTCACGGCTTGTCACGGCGTGTCACGCTGCCGGCCACCGCGGTGGGGTGTCGTCCTCGCCGACTTGAGAAATAAAACTTACACCGAATTGCAGTAGTGTTGGTAGGCGTGCGGGCTGGCGGGGTGATTAATGATTCGGCAGCGTAATGGAGAGACAGAGTGAGAGAGAGAGAGAGAGAGAGAGAGAGAGAGAGAGAGAGAGAGAGAGAGAGGCTGCGATGGATGGACGGATGGCTGCGGCGCCGCGTCACGCCGTGCGGCGGGCTGCCTCCGACGCCGTCGCTCTGTCTCTCTCGCACACACGCGAGCCACCCCGCGAGTGCGAGAGAGACAGAGCGCTGCTTTCGGCACGAGCCCGGTGGCTGGCCGAGGCGCGCGTAGCGGAGCAGCGGCGTTGAAGTGAACAGCGCCGTGTTCCTTGAGTCCGGCGTCGAGTCGGCCCGCCGCCCCCGCCTCCACAACTTTGCTTGGAATCCGAGAAGCCCGGGCGCAAAACGGAAGTATTATTCTTTTCCGAAATCCACGATGTGACTCCTCAGGCCGGGCTGTGGGCTGATTCCGAGCTGAGTGCTTCCGTCGCTCTGTCTCTCTCGCACCCCTACGGGGCGCCCCTCGAGTGCGAGAGAGACGGAGCGACGGAGGCACACCACGAAAGCTGGGCCCGCGGCGCTGCGGAACAAAGACAGCGTGCGGGTTTGCGTTTGAGATGAAAGGCGCATCGGGATACAGCGAGCCGCCTAATTGGCTTTATCTAGAGGCTGCTGCCCTGCTCGGCCTGCTCGGCCTGCTGCCGGCACCACTCCACTGGAGGGCAGGGCGCCAGGGCCGCCAGGGTGACTCCGTGGCTCGCCGCGGCTTTGACGGCCTGAGGAGGAGAGGGCTCTTTATTTTGCAGATGATGTGCGGCCCGCGGTCGGGTCACTCCACGGGCAGCACACTGATTCCCAGAGTCGTTTTCGTCGCTCTGTCTCTCTCGCACCCGCACGGGACGCCCCATGAGTGCGAGAGAGGCTGAGTGACTCTCGGAGTCAGTCCGCTGGGTCTTTTAGGCGTGCCCCTCGCCGTCGTACATCTTGACTGTGACGTGCGTCTTCTAGGCGGGGCAGCACGGCACCGCGCTGGTAACGACTCATTGAATATGAAAAGGTGACAATTATTGATGGACTGGCTGGCTGCCGTCGGTGCGCGCGCAGGCGCCGTCCCCGCCATAGAAATGAGTGCCCAAAGCGCGGCGTGGCTTTCCGGACCCCACAGGAAGCCCTCCTCCTCGACGCCCTCCTCCACGATCAAGAAGAGTCGTCCCGTCGGCCTGTCTCTGTCGCACTCATGGGGCTCTCCGTAAGAGTGCGAGAGAGACAGAGCGACAAACCGTCCTCTGAATGGCGCGGCTGACCGCAGTCACGCGCTGCCTCTTGCCGCGTCGCGGGGGTAAACTTGGGCGACGATCCTGTCATGTTTGCCGAATAAATTAAGGCGAGATGGATCCCCGCGCGAGGCTAGGGCAGCTAGGAAGAGTTTTCCCCGGGCAGCCATGAGAAATCGGATTGCGCTGTTAGCTTCAAAATAAGGGGAGGGGGAGCATTAATGAGAAATTCGGAGGTCTCATCACCGCCACCGGGGCGAAGTGTCCACGAAGTGTGCATACGGCGGGGCCGCGGCGGGTGGGGTGGCGGGGTGGGGCGGGGCGGGGCGAGGCGGGGCAAGTGCCATGCAACTCGATTTGCCGCGTGAGTGGGTAGTGTAATTGCGTATTTATTGAGTTAGGCACGTTAGGCCCGTGCGACACACAGACTGCAGCGACTGTGACGCGGCGGCAAACGCGCGCCGCCGAAATGCGCATCTGTTCACGTCGTGGCCGCGGCGGTTAAATCATCCGCCCGTCAAGGCGGAGGTACGGGGTTCAAATACATCCTCGGATTTTTTTTCGGAGGGGGGCGCTGGCGGCGTAGCGGCGTGTGTCCTCCGCCAGGGCGCCCTCGTTAGCCGGCCGTTGATAGCAGCCTTTTTAAAGGTGTTGCTGGCTGTCTCACTTTTGATCTCGTCGGGGACCTGTGGCGCGGCGGGGCGCGGCGGGGCGTGGCGGGGCGTGGCGGGGCGTGGCGGGGCGTGGTGCTGCTGGCGGGGCGCCAAGACGGGCACGGCCAGGAAGGCGGGGCGGGCGGCCCTCGGCGACGCTTGACCGACCAGTTAGCGCGGGGAGCGTCGTCGACAAATAAGCGACGGGGTGGCCCTGCCGGGGCCGGCGGCCTGGCGGCCTGGCGGCCTGGCAGGGGCCCGGGGGACGCGTAGCGCGCAGCCCCGCGGCATTCCGAGACGACGCGTTGCGACGCGGTGCGACGCCGGGGACGGATGTCGCCGACGAAAGGAGCGAACGGCCATTTAACGTTCTGCACCGCGCCGAGCAGACGGGGCGGCCGCGACGGCGGGACGCTTCCTGCGCGGCACCTGGACTGTGTCAGGAATCCGCCTCCCCCTCGCCGCCAAGGCCCTCCTCTCCGAGCTCCTCTTTCACGCCCCGCGCACGCCGCGCTCGCCGCCACCGCGTCACCGCGGCCGCTCGAGCAGCACCACGACGTGCACGTCGCGGACACGCCCCGCCTTTCGAAGTTCGGCTCCTTGTTAGCGCTGGCTGCCTGGCGTTGTTATTTGTTGGAATATCCTTACATCTCCTCGACGAAGACTGTCTTGGTGTTGCGCGGCTGCGCGCTGCGGGCGGGGCGCCTAGCCTCCAAGTCTCCCCGCGCCGCCAAGAAGGCCGTAGCCGCGCTGTCGCCGGCCGGAGATACGTCACCGCGCCCAGTGCGTCGCGCCGTCTCTGTCGCACCCGCGGGGCTTTCCGTGTGAGTGCGAGAGAGACAGAGCGACGAGACGCGGCAGGCCCGCGGGCGGCGACCTTTTATCCGAGACGCGAATAAAGAGACAACGCTTCGGCGGGGCTCTTTAGGCCGTCCGCATTAGAAAAGACGTCGCCTGTTATCGGAAGCCGCCCCCGCCAGGCCGCCCCGGCCAACCCCGGCCGCCCCCCACCGCCCCCGGCCGAGGTACCGCACTGCTTTTTCCCAGCCGCCATGATGTTTCCCCGTGGCCGCGGGCGCCGACGAGGTAGGCAACCCCTCGCCCCGCGCGGCGGCTGGGTTGGCCCGGGTTCGAGCCCCACTCAAGCCGACTGATTGTATTTTTTCTCTTCCGCCCGGATGCGTATTTTCCCCCTTATGGCACAATTTGTTTCCTTTTTGCTCGTGTGCCCCCCCCCCCTTCCCCCTCCACCAGCGCGATGTTCTGCATGCGCGCATTACGGCCCGTTTCCAATTCCAAGAAGCGCAACACATGCCAAGTACGTTTCCGCGGCGCTGTGCCGCGCCAAGCCGCGCCAAGCCACCCACACTAAGCGCTCGTAAAAAGTGGACTAATGCGCAATTTGTATGACAATTGGAGAACAAATTATCCCGTGGCGGCCGGCCGGCCTGGCGGGCCTGGCTGGCCTGGTGCACCATGGCGGCGTGCGGGGCGATGCGGCGCATGTGCAGCGCAGTCATGCAACTCGTCATACTTGGCGGTCTGGCGGTCTGGCGGCCGCGATAGGCATCGGGCAGGCCGCGGTCGCGGACTCACAGACCGGCAGACTCATTCCGAGAGTCCTTTTCGTCGCTCTGTCTCTCTCGCACTCATGGGGCGTCCCGTATGGGTGCGAGAGAGACAGAGCGACGAAAACGACTCTCGAAATACTTATCAGTCTGCAGGCGAGCAAGCTGCTGAACGCCTTTTGTTTTGTTTTCAGGTGCCGGTACGTCGCGGACGACCGAAGAGGAAGGTGTATTCGCCCAGGACCAAGCAGGAGCTATTTTTCGACACGACTTCACAACCACGCTTCACACGCTTCCAGATTCAGCCTGTCCGCAGCCCCAGTATTTTTGTGAACCTCCAACTCTGCAACTTGAACCAAATGAACCCTTGAACCTAGATAATGAAATATACATTAAAACCACTGGGAAGTTTTGCTTGAATGTGTATTAATTGTAGTAATAGCTGTATTATACAGCACCCCTGTCCCCGGTAGCCCAGCTCACCGCGGGCAGACAGGGGTTTGGCTAAGGAAGGGTAAATACCACACTCCGGGGCGTTTTAATTCATGCTCGTGTGCCCGAGGCCCTGTCCGAGGCCGTGGTCCAGGCCGTGGGGCCTCCCCGGGGATGAAATAAAGTAATACAGGCCTCGCCTCGGTCGGCTCCGGTCCGCTGTCCAGGCCTCGGCCGGCCCGGCGCCTCGGCCGCCTAATCCGACGGCTAATAATCACTATTTGCTCACCGCACACCGCCGGCCCGCCCGGCTCAGCATCCCTCTGCGCGCGAGAGAGAGAGAGAGAGAGAGAGAGAGAGAGAGAGAGAGAGAGAGAGAGAGAGAGAGAGAGAGAGAGAGAGAGAGAGAGAGAGAGAGAGAGAGCGCGCTTTGAATCTGGCGCCAGTCGGCACGTCCGCCCGCCGATGGCGCCGCTCCGATCCCAATAGCAGTCGCGACGATTTCCGCCCAGGTGGCGCCACAATCTGCATGCAATCAGGCGGCCAGCGGCCCTGGAAGACCCTGCAAGGCCCTGCAAGGCCCCGGCGACCTGGAATCCTGGAACCTGGAATCCGTCGCCAGCGGTGAATGATTACTTTAGTGGTCACCGGGGATGGCGGGGCGCGGGACGGCCGGCCCCGGAGCACGGCGAGCACGGCGTCGAGGCCGCCGTATCTGCGCGCGGGGACGGCGGCGTTGCCCGGCTCTTGTCGGCACACTTTGCCTGGACTGTAGCCACTCGGCCTCAAGGGAGCCCCAGGCCGGTCGCTCCAAAGTGACGCAGTCAATCACCACCACCAGCGCGGGGGTGGTGGCGGGGGCGGCGGGGGCGGCGGGGGCGGCGGCCGATCCGCCCTCTGATTCCTGGACCAGCCCGGCCGGGGCGCGGCCAGGGGCTGCCGTAGTTATGTCGTGGTTATGAAATATGGACGCAATGTTGGGAGGAAATAATACTCCGAGATGAGGAGGGCAGGCCTTGGCCGCTGGCCACCCTGCGCTGGGGTCCGGGTTCACGCCCCGAGGGCGTCCGCTGCAGCTGCTGAATTAAAGAACCAGTTGCCATTTCCCAATCACCAACGCGCGTAGGTCCTGATCCAGGCCGTGGTCATACGCTCACCGGACGGACGGACACTTTATAAATGCCCCACTTCAGAGGTGGATCCAGGGCCGGGCTGAGGGAGGGAGGGTTTGGGTAGCACCTTTTGCCTACCTATCAGGCGGCGGGGGGTCAACTGTCCTTTTGGCCCTCACAGGATTCGCGCGCCTGCCTTTTTTCACAATGACCCTTCATGGTGACAGGGTTCGGTTCAAACGTTTTCCTCGATTTTCCACAATCTTTTAACAGGCTCCTGCGACTTCAATTCCCGACGCCGGCCGTCTGTCGCACTGTCAAGCCGTGCGGCCGTTCGTTCGTGGACTTTTCCAAAACTTGGTCCCGATAAGCCCCGCCGCGATTTTATCTTCCCCCCGAAAGTCGGGACGGCTCGTCGTTAGCGCCGTTTTTACCTTCTATCGCGCGAGCGGCGCCGGGCGGCGCGATCCCCCGGGATGCCGTGGCAAGGCCATCGGCGCACGCGCGGGCCACCTTCTATAGGCCAGCCCAGGCGAGTCACGCGCGTGTCCGGACCCAATCCAGGACCATCGGTCTTCCGCCCATCGGCACTGGCACACTGGTAGAAAGACAGACAGACAGACGGACGGACATACAGACAGACAGACAAACAGACGGACTGCGAGCCACACCCGATTTAAACCCTGTCGCCGAGGCTTGCGCACCGGTGCGACAATCACACTGCAAGCGGCATTCTAGCTAAGCCCGCGTCTTGAGCCCCTCTACGCTCTGCGCGAACGGGAACGGTCTGACACGAGGGCAGCACACACGCACACACACACACACACGCCCCTCGTAGACGATGTCCACGCAGATAAGCCGACAATGTCCAAAACCACTCCGGCTGCGCTGTGACGTCGACTCCCCTCGCTGCGTCGCTAGTGGCGCGGTGGCGGCGGCGACAGTGGCGGCGGCGCCCTCCCCCTGTCGTGCGAGAAGAGCCCTGCCGGACTTTGGCGATAGATGGAGCGGCCAAGTTGCGCACGCCATGCCACGGCCATGTCAGGGAAGGGCTCTCCGCTCGCCTCTCCAGGGCGCTCCGGAGCGCTCCAGAGCGGCCGGAGAAGGAAGACCAAGCGGCGCGAGATGTACGATTCGGCCCCCGGCCTCCGGGTCAGAAAGGCCAGGCCGCCCAGACCAGCAGTGGCCCAGCCGCCCCGACGACGACGGATTAAAATGGTGTCCAGGCAGTACGTCACAGCGACTCTGGAGCTCAAAACGCGTCTAGAGCTTTGGCCGCCTTCCTGGAAGGGGTATGGGGCATGGCCTGCTCCCGGATCCGCGCCTGTGACGGTGCATCGGCCGGCGTTACGTGGAATGTGCACGCCTCCTGCGGGGCCTAACTACCGCCGCACTCGAAGGGCGAGGGGCTGCAAGCCTGCAGCACGCCGTGGAGGGCACGCCCCTCGCAGACCGACCACTCGGCACCCTCACAGACACAGCGGCACGGCACTATGAAATATTGAGGAGAGAGCGAGAGAGAGGGACCAGGGGATGCACTTGCGGTGGGGCTGCTGGGCGCGGGGCTCGCTGGACGCGGGCTGGCAGTGTAGTGGGGAGGAGGCTCATGAAAGGTGATGCCGGGGCATTAATTGGCATGTGCGGCCGGCAGGGGGCGCGCCGGCCATCGCTCTGTCTCTCTCGCACGCCCGCGGAAACGCCGGGTGCGAGAGAGACAGAGCGACGATGGCGCGGCGCGGGAACAGACTGCTGCTTATGGACACACATGTAGCGGTGTCTCCGGAGGGGTTGAGCGTCGCGCGTTGAAATTACGGGGTGATGATGTGATGGAGCAGCGCCAGTACACTAGCAGCGCCCGGGGACGAGGGTCAAGCGATCTGGTTGCTCCGTGTAGGGGAAAGGGGGCGGGGGAACGACGAGCTGGCACGCGCTCAAATGGATGTACGCTGCCAAAGATCCATGCCTCGGTTTTATAAACTTTCAATGTTTTATTGGACTTTACAAGTACAGTGCAACTGTACAAGTACATAGCAACCTGGTAGCACAGTGGTTAGAGTGCTGCGTTCCTGACTGGCGGGTCTCGGGTTCGAGACCAGTAGCACCATGAACAAATTTTTCGCCAGCGGCAACCGACTTCTTGAGGAGGTCTATCCGGAGAGGATTGAGTACCAGTGCTGGCAGTGCGAGCAGCACGGTCCCCCGGTAGCTCAGTGGTTAAGAGCGTGTTGCGGGAAGCGGCAGGTCCCGGGTTCGGGACCGGTAGTAGATGCAATTTTTTCGGCAACCAATTGCTTGAGGAGATATATCCAGAGAAGATTCAGTACCAGCGCAGGCAGGCCAGGTGCCATGGCGTCCCGGTGGCTCAGTGGTTAAGAGCATGATGTGGGAAGCGGCAGGTCCCGGGTTCGAGACCGCTCCAGGTACCCTTTTTTCGGGACCAGATTTCTCGAACGGCAGCTCAAGAGGAGTTGCGACATCGCCGCTGACAAGCTGGTTCGGTGGCTGAGCGGTCAGGGTAGAGGAGTTGACTAGACTCGGCACTCGGGGTCGCGGGTTCAAATACCCAATGTGACCCCTCTGAGGTAAGGCCTCTGAATCTGGACTCTCACTGTACCACAGAAACCGCGCGCACTTCGGGTGGGCCAGCCTAATACGAACCCACTAATCTGTCGAATTGCGCGGCAGGGAGCGTCGGATGAAGGCCCGGTTCCCATAAGAACACCGAAGCTGATCGGCGGGTCTCCTTGAGACTTTCGTATTGCCACTTTTTGCCGCCGATTTTTTTCATGAAACGCACTGCGGGAATGGCGCATCATTGCCCAGCGGTACGTGTTCTGCAGTTCGTGCAGTTCTGCACGGCTGAGGCCGTTGGCAGCATGACCACGCCGTTGACGTCCAGGTGTGCAGCAGCACGGCCACTACGGCCTGCACCGCGGAGCTCGCGTAAAACTGGCGCGCAACTCGGCGGCGCTGCAACACCGGGCAACACACACGCGGTGAAGCAGCGTGCGCCGGAGCGGCGTGTCGGGGCGGGGCCGTGCCTCGTGCCAGGGCCGCGCCAGGGCTGCGCCGGGCTCTGTCGAACATAAACCTAATGGTAAACGGCGTGGTAAAACTGTTAAGGGGCGCGCGGGGGCCTCGCGAGGGGCTGGCGGCGGGGGCGGGGGCACTTTCATACGGCACATAACGCAACCCCGGCGCCGCGGACCACATACCCACCGCAGCCACCACTGCACTACTCAACTTGCAGCCCTTCCGCGGCCCGCCCCCGCGCCGCCCCCGCGCCGCCCCCGCAACCCCGCAACGCCGCCAGGCGGATTGCAACAACCAGAAAGTCATAAAGTCGGAACGTCGCGAGTTATGGCTGGATGGCGGGCGGCGCGGCGGGGCCGGCGGCGTGAGCCGCCAGCGTCTAATTGTAACAGCCATTATGAAGTGGCAACTTTAACTTCCGCGCCAGGCATCGCATGCAGTGTCCCTGTGCGTATACGACTGGAGTTGGGTCCGCGGGGGTCGATAAGGCCGACCCTTCGTTGGCCAGCCCTTCGTTGGCGGCCAGCCCTTCGTCGGCGCCTAGCCGTACGTCGCGGCCAGCCCGCTTCGTCGACGGCCAGCCCTTCGACGGCCAGTCCTTGGACGGCCGGCCCCTCGCTAGCCAGCCCTCCGCGTGGCAAATAATAAACCCCGCCTGATCCCGGCTGGGCAGTGCGAGGCAGGGCGAGGCAGGGCGTCCCCCGCTCCGCCGCAGTCGGCAAAAAGTCACGTCCTCGTACTCCGTGGCCGCCTCGGCCGCCTTGGCGGTAGTGAAGACGTCTGAATGGACCCGG